AAAATCTTTTTTTTTTTTTTTTTTTTTTTTTGGACCAGTTCTAATGTATAGGCCATGTTCTCACCTAACACCCTGCTATCCAGAGAATCTGGCCACCTGGGAAGAGAAACACATTTTGCAGGTTCCTAGGATCTCTGAAGATAGTTTGGTGTTTTTTTGTTTTTGTTTTTTGCTCTGTGCCAGTTTGCATATACCTCAGAATAGCATATGTTTGTTCTTGTTTTTTAACAGGAGACTTTTAAGTCTGCCTCTTTCATTATCTGAAGAGGAATTGCTTAGAATGAGGCAAGAGTTCCATTGCTGCTATTCTCAGATGGACAATAACTTAGCTTTGCCCAAGATTCGGAGAAGAGCTTTGCTTCAGGCGTATCAGTCTGCGTGGAGGGAAGCGGAGCTGCTGAAAGTGGATCAGAACTCAGCAGTATCCGACAAACAGGTGGGATCAGTAAGGGAATGTTTTACATTTCCCAAATGTGTACATTTACTGTCTGCCTCCTTTTCAGGAGTGGGTTTCCCCACACATGCCGTTTTTCATGTGTTTTGGAAGCAGAATGTGATTAGGATCAGTTCCCAACTGTAGGGCCTGATTTATCAGTTACTGTAGGTAAAAGCTGTATCCTGGCCTTTCCCCCAGTCCAACACATTAGCACGATGCCTCTTGTGATGACTGGTGTGCGTGTTGCCTTCCTGCTTCCTGATCCCTGTTCTGTTTTGTTTCTTGGTTCCTGCTACCTGAATTCAATGTTCTTGTTTCTGTTTATATGCGCGCACACAGAGCCTTAGCGTGGGGTGTGTGCTGCTACTCATAGCCCGCTGCTACATAGCTGCAATTCAGACTGTTATCAAGTTTTATTCAGACTGTTGCTGACCTTACCAGTTCATGGTGAGTACATGTTTTGACTGACAGTCTACTGGCATGTCTTACTTCGGGATGGTTTTTTGGATTGCTATTCTGGGGTGCATCAGAGTGTAACATGGCGACGAGTGCTTCTGTTCTGCAACCCATGCTGCCGGCACAGCCTTCGATGATGATACTTTATTCAGAATTTTTGGAACTGTCTGCAGATTATACAACTCTCCGATGCGCCTAGGTTACCCTGGCTGCTTAGGCTGTGATGGCGTTGATATTTTTGGTGGGCTCCTGGAGCCCAGTCCTCCTTTGATGCAGCTATGCAGCATCGCAACAAGTATTTTGGCATTGGAGATTCTGTACTGGTAAAGAGGAAAATGTTTTTTGAAGCTCTCCAGCAGCCCTACAAAACCATACACAAGTTTGCATGTCATTTGCAGTGATGGGCCAGGGACTGTGAATTTGGGGATGTTATGATGATCATGCTCAGGGATATTTTTCTGATTGACCACCCTGGATGAACAGTTACTGGCTGAAGATGCGAGAATGCTAACTTTTGATGTGACAGTTGCTAAGAGGGAGGCCTTTGCTAGCGCTTGGGGTGAAAGTTGTTCTGTGTTTCAGATTGCTGCTACCTTTGTGTCTCCTCTTAAGCCATCAGCTGCTCCTCCTACTTCCATCACCCAGAATCCTACTATGCTACCTACTCCCGTACCATGGCCTCAGCAGCGAAAGTTGCCAGCTCCTCACTGTTTCTCCTGTGATAGTATGGGTCACTTGGCCAATTTCCCTGCCTGCCCAGTCAGGCTTGTGAGAAGGAAGGACACTTTTTAAATTAGTGCACCGCAGTACACTGGTTCACAAAGATGTGAGGCCTGTGAATGTGGAGCCGGACGAGACCACTTTTATTGATGTTTCCTTTAGTATGATTTTCACATGTGGTAAGACACTGCAGCTGGTATCCTGAAATTAATGGCACACTGCTGAAGTGCATGGTGGATACAGGTGCTGAACTTAATGTTCTCCCCTCTGGGTTAGTTCAGAGTCTGGACAGTTGCTGACAACGGTAGTTATAAATGCTTAGAATTTGTATGCCTTGCAGACAGTGGGCAAAGCTGTATGCTTTGCGCTCTACAAGGGCATAGCCTTGACTGCAAAGTTTAACATTGTTAAAGGCGCAGCTGCGTATGCAGTTCCATTATTTTCCTTACATCTTGGTATTATGAACTTGCACAGGATATCTCGGGTGGGATTATGTTGGCTAGAACAGAAGGGGATATGCAAAGTATCATTCAGAGACAGCATGGGGATATGCATACTCTCTGCAGGTGCATTTGAACATGGAAGTGTGCACCGTCTGCACGTTGCATACTTCCTGCACTTATGGAGAAGATCCAAACAGAATTTGGTATCATTTGGGAGGTGGAAGGATTGGCTTTCACCCATTGTGATCATATACAAGAAGAGTGATGATATTCAATTGTGCACAGATTTTAGGGACCTTCATAAAAATGTGAAACATGAGCAATCTCGATTGCCTTCAGTGAGGTGACTTGGTGGGTAAGTGGATCCCGGATTTTCTCTGTGTTGGACTACCAATCCGGTTACTGGCAAATACCATTAATTCTTTTGCGTAGAGACTGTCCAGTTTGGCCAATGTACATGGCAGAGGGGCATTGCTGGCACATGATGGCATATATCACATTGGTAGATGTGCAGGTGAACGAGCCCCTGATGACATGGCTGATGTGTTTTTTCACTTCACTTCACTGCTGAAGTGAAAAAACAGATTGACAGAGCCATACGAGTACCCAGAAGTCACCTCCTACAAGACAGGCCCAACAAAGAAAATAACAGAATACCACTAGCTGTCACCTTCAGTCCCCAACTAAAACCTCTCCAGCGCATCATCAAAGATCTACAACCTATCCTGAAAGATGATCCCTCACTCTCACAGATCTTGGGAGACAGACCTGTCCTCGCTTACAGACAACCCCCCAACCTGAAGCAAATACTCACCAGCAACCACACATCACTGAACAAAAACACTGACCCAGGAACCTATCCTTGCAACAAAGCCCGATGCCAATTCTGTCCACATATCTATTCAAGTGACATCATCATAGGACCTAATCACATCAGCCATACCATCAGGGGCTCATTCACCTGCACATCTACCAATGTGATATATGCCACCATGTGCCAGCAATGCCCCTCTGTCTGCCATGTACATTGGCCAAACCGGACAGTCTCTATGCAAAAGAATTAATGGACACAAATCTGACATCAGGAATCATAATACTCAAAAACCAGTGGGAGAACACTTTAACCTGTCTGGTCATTCAATGACAGACCTGCGGGTGGCTATTTTACAACAGAAAAGCTTCAAAAACAGACTCCAACGAGAAACTGCTGAACTCAAATTGATATGCAAATTAGACAATCAATTTAGGTTTGAATAGAGACTGGGAATGGCTGAGCCATTACAAACATTGAATCTATCTCCCCATGTAAGTACTCTCACACTTCTTATCAACCTGTCTGTACTGGGCTATCTTGAGTATCACTTCAAAAGTTTTTTTTCTCTTACTTAATTGGCCTCTCAGAGTTGGTAAGACAACTCCCACCTATTCATGCTCTCTGTATGTGTGTGTATATATATCTCCTCACTATATGTTCCATTCTATGCATCCGAAGAAGTGGGATGTAGCCCACGAAAGCTTATGCTCAAATAAATTTGTTAGTCTCTAAGGTGCCACAAGTACTCCTGTTCTTTTTTGAAGAAGTGCGTAGCTCACATACTGGAGGAATGTGGAGATATACTCTTCCCTGTTGCATTAAGTTATGCTTTATATGATATTCGGTGCACACTTCATGAAAGTAGTGGAGAAACCCTTTGTATCAGCTCTTCATCCAGCCTTTGAGGACCAAGTTGTCTATGCTGACAGAAAAGGTTCATTCCACCCCTTCGCCGTCCTTGAAGCTGACTGATGTGACTAGAGAACATGGGAGTCTCAACAAACATATTCATCCAAGCACATGGAGCTCATCAAGGCATTCTATCCCGGACAAGCAGTGTATGTTAGGTGAAGGTTTGAAAACATTTTCAATACTCATGGCGTTATCTTGCGGGCTGCAGGGCAAAGAGCATAGTGAGTGTGTTTACCAGAGGGAGCACGGTGAGCATGTTTACTACCGGGAGAACGCATTGTTAAATAGCAAGATATATTGCCTACTGAAAGGGGAACAGATAGGGAAGAGGACACTGTTTCTGCGTACATTGATATCATGAGACCAACTGGGGAAGTTGCACACAGCAATAGCATCCACCTCTTGAGCTGAATCAGGGGTATAACCTAGGACCCTGGGATCACCTGGTGCCTCTGATCAGGTACCACTGAACTTTTAGAGAGAAAGAAGGAAATTGTGATGACTGATGTGTGTTGCCTTCCTGCTTCCTCCCCTCTGTTTCTTCTCCTGTTTTGTGTCCTGGTTCCTACTCCTTGAACTCAGTGTTCCTGTTCCTGTTTAAGGCTCTGTTTGTGTTCTGAACAGTGGGTGGGTGCATCTACTCAGGGTCTGGTGCTACGTATCTGCTGTTATCGTGTTTTGTTCAGAGTTTTGCTAACCTAACTAGTTCATGGTTATTAAATGTTTTGATTGACAACCTACGTGCATGTCTTTCTTTGTTTTATTTGTGGTTTTGGGTTGCTATTCTGGGTGCATCAGAGAGTAACAGCTCTCCTTTCCTATAAATACTTGATGCAGCTGAGATTTTTTCACAGAGGTCCAATACACCTTCCACTTGCATAACAGATTCCCTGCCTCCTACAATGTGATTTGTGGTAGTTCAGTGCTCCTGTCTTGCCATTAGCATCTTGGCATTTAAAGATGCTTTTTAGGAAGAAATGAGAAAATACATTTCCTCCAGCCTTCCCTTCCTTTGTAGACTAATTGTTCCAGGGCCCTATCCCTTATAATGGGAATAAGCAGAAAGCCAGGATGTGATCCATCTCTAAGGGGGCCCTTTCTGAAGCCAAAAATGTGTTATGTCTTCTCCCCACCTATTGGACCTCCATATCCCAAGCTGAGACTCCTCTGGAGACATATCCACAATGCTGAGTCAGTCTTCTTCAGCATCTGGGACTCAGTCTGACTCTACTGCTGAGTCAGTTAGAGATTCTTTGGGGAAAAATCCAAGTCCACTTCAATCCACTTAAAAACAGAAAATCTTGAGGGTTCCCTCTTATGTTCTAGAGTGGGTAGTGGCTTGCTTTCAGACTTGCCTTTCCAAGAGGAGGATCATGACTCTCCCAGGGATGTACTCTTTCATTTTTTTCCAATGTTTTTAACAGAAGCTAGGGAATACTCATCTCAGAAGAGGTCAGTTGGTGTAAAGAGGTCAGTCCCAGCCAGGAAAGTATTAGGTAATTGGGTAACAAATTTTCTATTTGGCTATTTAACTTTGTGTAGAGGATGCTTAATTGCCTTGAATGTTATAAACTACAGATTAATTCTTTACCTTAACTTTCTCCACAGAAAAAGAAACATATCTCTTCTATGAATTGTAGGTCATAGTACTATAATAAAGGGTGATATGTCTCCCCTCTGACCACAATTTGATTGACTCTGTTTTTCTTAATGTGTAAACTAACTTAGGCTAATTGCACTAGGAATTAGCCTAGTTCAAAACCTTAATGATTTCCAAAATGCTAGGTATTTCAAAAGGGAAATGACTTTGCAGAGCCTTATAGTTGAACAGATGTTATCTTTTCCCTGAGAGTACATTACACTTAGTTTATATTCTTGTAAAGAATACAAAGGTCAGATTACATAGTAGGATGCTCCTTAATATTATCATGGCACATCTGTGATTCATACAGTGCATTTTGAAAACAATTTAATTTTTAAATTAATATGATATCTTGTTCTTTTCTTATGGCGTTGAAAAAGGATGAGGAAAATTTCATTAAGTCATTGCATATAGCATTCACTAAATGCTTGTGTAAAACCAGATTTGTCACTCCTGTGCTAGCAGGACAAAATTGCAATAATGCAACTTGGCAATTGCATCCTCTTTTCAGGGATGAATATGTAAACCTGCATTCAAAAAAGTTAGGCATATTTTGTGGTTTAGTCTGAAATTACTGAATGGGTCCTCTGAAAGGTATAGCTAGAACATGTATTTCCAGGGAACATTTTGTCATGAAAGTCAAGATTGCAGTTTTGTATTCTTAACTGGGGAATTGCCCACAAATAATAGTAATAATACTAATACATAGTAATGCCATATAAGTTTTAAAAATATTTAATGATGTGATGACTTTTTTTTTATATCCACAGTCCAAGATCAAAAAACAACGATCCAAGAATAGAAATAAGATGGATGTTCTGAAAAAATCTTTGGAGGATAAAATTCGCATCTATGACGAACCGATTACAGATGAAAATTTGAGCAAGGTAAATGTAAATGTTGTTCTGTACAGAGCTCTGTACATTGATGCTCAACAATTACAAAATAACAATAATTTCATAAATACATGCATGACCAAGACACAGAGAGGCATGGAGCTCAGACTAGATGATCATAATCATCCCCTTCTGGCCTTAAAGTCTATACATCTGTGATAAGCATAAGTATGTAAAATATTTCATCTCTCTTTGTGCTTGTCTCCTGGACTGTCAAGATTATGTTGCATTTAAAATAGATTATCACTTTGTGATTTTTGTTGTAAATGTTAATGTTCCTTTTGTTGTAAATGTTAATGTTCATTGTGAAAGGTGGCAAGTTCCCATGTCTGAATACTGGTGTTTCCTGTTTATCATAAGAACACAGTGATGAAGCTGCCACAGACAATGAGCTTCTAGAATAATTTCTCATCTTTGCCTGTGGCAAACCCAGTGTCCCAGAGGTGCATGTACTGACCAAGACGAGCCTGGAGGACCTGGGGAATCTATCAATTTGCTTGCCCCTTTCAGTAACAATGCTTATAGGGCAACCTGGAAAGTTTCTTCCTCTAGGAAAATGTTTTCCAAATATGTGACATTTGCTCTATTTTAAAGGAAAAATAATTTACTCTTTGGAAGTATTTTTAGGAGCAGCATAGATAAGTCTATTCCAACAGGGACGATTCGAGAGTATCAACATAGGGATGAACTGAAGCAGAGACGAGGAAATCAGGGTGGCAGAAATTTAACAAGGGACTCCCTGCAAGATCCAGAGAGCTCCCTCCAGTACATCTGTGTCAGAGCAGGGTATAACAATACATGTCCCTCACAACCCCTCCAGTGTGCCTGAAGTACTCTGCTCTAGAAAGCTCACTTCTAGGGTGAGAGAATGATTCAGGTTCCAGGCTGATTTGATCCTTGACCTCTCTACTGAAACAAGGATGCCTGTGATGATGATAGGAACATCTGTCTACGAGGAACTGAGTGTAGGCCATTACCTCATTTCACACACCAAAATCCTCCCCCATTAAAACTCAGATCCTCCTACTGAAACACAGCCTGAACAGCTGGGTTGGACTGGGCGCATGAAGGGGAGGAATTCTCCTTGTGCAAGGAAAAAGTAACCCTCTGTGACCTCAGCGCAGGTAGAGAATAGAGTATCAGTACTGTAGTAGATCCCCAGGCTCCACATGTCTCTGAATTACCCGTGTTCCACTCTCTTCAATGTGCATACACACAAGGAGCCCTTGTGAAGCAGGTTGCACACCACACAGGAGGTGCACACCCACTGCATGACTTCCACAGATGCTGCTGCTGCTACCTTGCACAATAGACCTATCAGAAGTGGGGTAAAAAATTTCCCTTAGTGCCCACTGTCTGTCCATTCAACTCAATAGTTTTGTCACTGACTTAATGGAGCAGGATCAAACTCTGATAGCTACAGCTCCACTGAAAGCCAGGCTCAGGGTTTTAGAGTGTAAAGCCAGAGGGGCAGGGACCAACTTTTACTTTGGTTTGTACAGTGACGATTAAGATAGGAGCCTGCCTCTACTATAAGAGAAAGTAGAATACCGCAATAAGTATAACAACACTTACAGGAGGAAAGAATGGTCCTGCAGTTAGGGCGCTAGCCTGGAACTTGGGTGACCCAGCTTCAGCACCCTGCTCTGCCATAGACTTCCCATGTGATAGTGTGCAAGTTACTTAATCTCTCCATGCCTTTGTAAAATGCAGGTAATAGCACTTCCTTACCCTACAGAGGTGTTGTGAGGATAAAAGCATTAGACATTATGAGGTGGGTGCTGAGATACTATAGTAATGGGTGTCGTATGAATACCATTGATAAATAATACAAATAATAATCTGTTAAATGATTGCCTTGTTAAGATTAGTTTTCATATATTTAAGATAGACAGTGTAGTTTGTTTGATTACATTTCCAGCAATCTGTATATCCTTTACCAGGGGGCCCAAGGGAATAGGAAATACTGGATGCAGTATGTTTTATTTATGGACAGTTCTGCTTTAATGTGACACTAATATTTTGAGGCAGTAAATGTGCTTGATTTGTGTAACTTCTATAGCCCTTTTTATCATTTAATTGATGGAGAGTTTATTTCAATTTAGATACAGCACCAGGCTCGCTCTGGAGTTCTTTTGTAATGTCCTTGCCTGTCTTCTTTTGATTTGAGCTGCATGTTAGCTACCAAAGGCCACCTACTTTATCCAATGAGGAGAGTAGATTATTATTAAGGAAAATGATCACATATTATCACTAGTATATCAGAAATGTAACAAAAAACCTTATCTTGTGAGTATAAATAACGTTTTTCATTCTTTCCCATTGCAATTCATTGTCTAGGTCCTCATTCAAATTCCTGCCCATTAGTATTTTTTATATTTGTTTTCTTTAATATAAAGGGTTTTCCTCTTCTCACTCACTATTGCCATCCAAAATTTTATGACCAATTCAGGAGGGTGGGGGAGAAATGTAAATATGGAACAATGTTAAATCTTACTACTTTTCCATTGACTACTGTCACTTCCTACTATCCTGCTTTGTTTTTTTGACAATTTGAATGCTGTGTGTGAGAGTTGGCTCTGAGCTGCTCAGTACTGCAGAAGGCTCCTGAACTTGGTGGGTAGAAGTGATGCTTGAAGAAGAAAGGAGCAGGGGGATATAGTCTTTCTTATAGTCTTCCAAGAGGGCTGTGAGAACAAGGATTATAGATAGGAGGGTAATGTGTTGGGAGGATATGGAAAGGGTTTTGAGGCCTGATTCTGAGAGGTGCCTGAAAATCTGTTATATAGTTTTCCAGATTGGACTCAAACAGAATATGTCCTTTCTTCTCTAGTTGTGTCTTAGTTGCTCAGCTTTCAAGCTGTCCCATGGACAAGGCATGAGGAAGTGGAAGTTGTACAAGACGAAAGACAGGCAAGAGGCATTATAAAAGAGATCCAATACGAGTCTGGTGCTGTTCTGCGGATAAGCAAGAAGACTGTAGGACTTACAGAAATCAAGCACAAAATATTTACAACTTTTAGCACGATGAGCCTCTGTCCCTAACTAGGACCTCTTGGTACTATTGGACTGCAAATAGTAATTAATATTAATTATAGACTTCATTAAAGATGAAGGTCAGTGCATCTTAGGAGCAATTCCTTTATTTGTAAGAATTAAGTGAGAGAGAAACGGCACTAGTAGCAACTAGAGTCAGTAATGAATATGGAAATTGAAAGTTAACACTTTCAAGTGAAGGGCTTATTTTAATGGATTTATGTTGTTCAGTTAAATTTAAAGAAAGTCAGTTGATTAGGAAATTGCAGATGGAATCAGCAGCAGGAGAGTATGTCGAAGACGCATAACTTGATGCATTTTCAGCAATGATCCGAGGAATGGAAAACCTACCTTATGAGAGGAGACTCAAAGAGCTTGGTTTGATTAGCCTAACCAAAGGAAGGCTGAGGGGAGATATTGCTTTCTATAAATACATCAGAGGGATAAATACCAGGGCGGGAGAGGCGTTATTTAAGTTAAGTGCCAATGTGGACAGAAGAACAAATGGATATAAATTGGCCATCAACAAGTTTAGGCTTGAAATTAGGCAAAGATTTCTAACCATCAGAAATGTTTGAGTGGTAGCCGTGTTAGTCTGTATCAGCAAAAAGAATGAGAGTCCTTGTGGCACCTTACAGACTAACACATTTATTTGGGCATAAGCTTTCGTGGGCTAAAACCCACTTCTTCAGATGCATGGAGTGGAAAATACAGTAGGAAGATATATATATATATATACACACATACACACACACACACACACACAGAACATGAAAGATGGGGGTTGCCATACCAGCTATAACAAGACAAATCAATTAAGGTGGGCTATTATCAGCAGGAGAAAAAAAACTTTTGTAGTGATAATCAGGATGGCCCATTTCAAACAAGTTGACAAGAAGTTGTGAGTAACAGTAGGGGGAAAAATTAGCATTGGGAAATAGTTTTTAGTTTGTGTAATGACCCATCCACTCCCAGTCTATATTCAAGCCTAATTTGATGGTGTCCAGTTTGCAAATTAATTCCAGTTCTGCAGTTTCTCATTGGAGTCGGTTTTTGAAGGTTTTTTTGTTGAAGAATTGCCACTTTTAGGTCTGTAATCGAGTGTAAATTTCCCCATGCTAATTTCCCGCCCTACTGTTATTCACACCTTCTTGTCAACTGTTTGAAATGGGCCGTTCTGTTTTTTTTCTCCTGCTGATAATAGCCCACCTTAATTGATTTGTCTCGTTAGAGTTGGTATGGCAACCCCCATCTTTTCATGTTCTCTGTATGTATGTATGTGTGTGTGTGTGTGTGTGTGTATGTATATATATATATATATATATATATACATTCCTACTGTATTTTCCACTCCATGCATCTGATGAAGTGGGTTTTAGCCCACGAAAGCTTATGCCCAAATAAATTTGTTAGTCTCTAAAGTGCCACAAGTACTCCTCGTTCTTTTTTCATCAGAGGAGTGAAGTTCTGGAACAGCCTTCCAAGGGGAGCAGTGGGGGCAAAAAAACTAACTTGGTTCAAGACTGAGCTTGATAAGTTTATGGAGGGGATGGTATGATGAAACTGCCGACAATGGCATTAGCTGATCTGCGACTGCTAACAGCAACTATCTCCAACAGCCAGTGATGGGACACTAGATGGGGTAGGCTCTGAGTTACTACAGAGAATTCTTTCCCAGGTATCTGGCTGGTGAGTCTTTCCCACATGCTCAGGGTCTAACTGATCACCATATATGGGGTTGGGAAGGAATTTTCTCCCAGGTCACATTGGCAAAGACCCTGGGGGTGGGGGGTGGTTCACCTTCCTCTGCAGCATGGAATACAGGACACTTGCAGGTTTAAACTAGTGTAAATTGTGGATTTTCTGTGACTTGAAGTCTTTAAACCATGATTTGAGGACTTCAGTAGCTCATCCAGAGGTTATGGGTCTATTACAGGAGTGAGTTGGTGAGGTTC